CCCCAAAACCCCAAAACCCCAAAACCCCATTTGAGTTAGATTCACTATCTATATAGAAAAATTTTCATTGAATAAAATTAAAATTTCAATTACCTTATTTCAAGTTTACAAATTCTAATTGATCTTATCCATCTTATAGAAAATCATTTAGCTTCCTCTTTTTGCTTTATCTTTATTACTAATTATTCTAGTTTTATCTCTATTCATCAGATAAATTGGACTAGTTCAATGAGTTGACATTTTCATTTTGATCTGGCTGCTATTATTATTGTCTTTCTTCATTCATGGTCTGAACGCTATTCCCTTGATTGCTTTATATCATTTGTCCTACTTCTTATTTCTCACTTTCAAATTACATTAATATTTGCTACTATTACTGGATCAACTATTCCACATCTAATTCTTGAGAATTTTCTTCGTCATTTGCATTTATAAAGGAACGAGCGTGTCTCAAAAAGTCCATTAGGTTGTCTTCATTGTCATTGGCAAATCTACTTTCAGGTAGTTTAGTTACTTATCTATGTGATTATGGAGCAGGCATTGAATTTGAATGATTCAAACTCGCTAATATATCTTACTATATGCCTCTACCTCTTCCTCTCCCTCTGCCACGTCCAGCTCCTCCTCTATTCCTTCCCCTACCTCTTCCAGATGCTGAGGATAATAAAGATTCATTTAGAGAGTCACTGACTGAACTTTATTACTCATTCTTAACTTCTTCTGCAATTTATTTATTCTGATTGGGCTATTCTTTATCTTCAGTTACACCCATAACCTCTGATTTATATATAAATATCACATTTATCTTACTTCTTAGTTGGTTTCCATTCTCATTGTGGAAGAGTCTTTCAGCAAGAGTCTGCTTAGGAACATTTTGGTTAATTAATTACTTAATGTTGTCGTCCTATATTCAATAAATATTCCACAACATTAAAACTATAAATATTGCTAAAATGCTTACCAAAAGTTCTTCTTCTTATTCCTCCTTTAGAAAATCTTTTTCGCTTTATTTCAAATAGCTAATGTACCAAGTAGGCAGTTTTCCATCTTAAAATGTGCAGTTCGGCATATGAACCTTAATATCACCTAGAGGACCTTTCCAATTACAACCTAAATATAATTGAAGTTTAATATTAGTTTCAGCCACAAAAATGTCAACAAATAATGAAGAAAATAAAATCAAATTTCCAACTTTTTTTGCATCTTACCTCTGTTTGAGCAAAAAATTTCAAATTCACATATCAAATTGAATGCAAGCAAATCTTTAGATATTTGATTCTTCTTGAAACCTTGACGGCAAAATGGACAATTAGGCTATCTTGCCTAGTTTTGACTCCATGTTTCAATGCATCCTCTGCAATATGTATGACTAATTAGTAGTTTAATTGATCTTAATAATTACCCGCAAGGTATTTTAACTGGATCATTAAACACTTCGGTGCAGATAGAGCAATAAAGATGCTTTGATATGACTGCAGGTGACACGAATTTCCTATTAAGAGGAGCTGTAGACTAATCCTTATTGCCATTTGGCTTATTTGAGTTTGCAAGCTAATTCATAATTTGTTTTAAAATTGCTAATATTTTAATCTAACTTAATATTATAATTTAATTTAAATCAGTTAAGAGAACAATAAAAATGTCAGAGGAAGAGGCAAACGTAGAAAATCAAGAAGAGCAAGTACCACCAGAACCCAAGAACATTCTGAAGGCTGAATAAATTGCTGCAGGTCTCTCTTAAGTCTCCAAGATTCATGGTAAACTTAAATGTCCTAATAAAGAATATGTCATAGATGGTTCATCCTACGCCTATGTCAATTTGAATCTTGAAGAGAAGGAATTGCAAGAACTGGGAGATTAACTTAGACTCTACCAGCACCTTAGATTCCTCAATCTATCTAAGAATCAGCTTCAAGATCTAAGTGAGGTTACATACCTTCCTTACCTACTTACTCTTAATACATCTGAGAATCAAATTAATGATATTACTTTCTTTAGAAATTCTCCAAACTCATTGCAATATCTACAGGTAAGCAGTTTCATTTATGGCATGAACTCTTAATTTAGTTGGTTAATCTTAGCAAGAATAAGTTATAAGAGCTCACCGCTATCTAGTAACCAAGAATCACAAGACTTATCTTGAATGAGAATGAGATAGCAAGCGCTGCACAATTCTAGCCAGGCCAGAGTTTAAAGATTTTAGAACTGAGAAAAAATAAATTAACTAATTGCGCTGGATTATCTAACATCGGTAGTTTAGAAGAATTGTTTTTAGCTGAGAATGAAATTAGCGATATCTCTGGCCTATTTGGTCTTTACAGTTTGAAGAGACTTCATCTAAGAAATAATAAGATTACAAGCTTAGATGATCTACCTAATGATTTAACTAGTCTTGAGTCCATAAATATTAGAGAAAATCAAGTAGCTTCACTTAACTTAACTGGATTGACTAGAGCACCTAGATTAAATAAACTTAGTAATACATTAGATTTAAGTAATTCAATATTATAGGTATGCAAGCAAATCCAATAGTCGAAGAAAAGGGAGAAGATTTTAAAAAGGAAGTCCTTATCTTTATGCTTGGAAAACTTAGGTATTCTACTAAATAAATAAGTTTATGTAGTTTGAATAAAATTGGCAAAGATGAAATTACTGCAGACGACATAAAGGATGCTGAGAATGAAAGAAATGAGAGAATAAAGGTGGCTGAGGAAGCAAGATTAGAGAAGGAAAGACTAGCTGCTGAAGGTGGAGGTGCTGAAGAACAACCACCAGCTGAAGACGAGTGATTTTCATTTAACAACAATATTTCATCTATATTCTAAAGCAATTTTATCTTTAAACATCTCTATAATTTTATTATAGTTTTTCATGGGGTTTTGGGGTTTTGGGGTTTTGGGGTAAGAAATGAGTACTTAGGTGGG